CTACGGCTCTGGGTGAGGGGACACTTGGCTTTGCACTTTACAGATCCTGCGGTCCACGAGGGGCCTCAGGAGAGGACATGTCAGGACACGGCTTCCCAGCCTTCTGCCGTGGGAAGTGGGGGTGCTCCTGTCTGTCCTTTTCCCCCACACCCTGGACTGCACTTGGCTGTTGGTACACATGGTTGGCACACATGGTGGGCAGAGGGCAGAGAAAATGTCACTGCTTGGATATTTGTCCCCTTTGACCAGGAAGCCCAAGAGGAGACACCTCAGCCAGCAGAAAGGCCACCCAGCTCACTGGCTCATTCCAGGAGCGGGAGACACGGCAGGGTCTCCTCTTCGCCCTCCGCCATCAGGAAGGGGATGGTGTCCTGTCCCCACTGTGGTGGCTTTAGGCGACGTTCTTACTGTCTGCTCTGCCTCGGTTTCCCCATCTGGAAAATGGGGGCAGGGGTACTGACCTACCTCAGGTGGCAAGGTGAGCAGGGAACATGTTGGAGTCCTTTAGAGAGTGTGATGTGAGGTTGGATCAACAGTGTGTGTTCCTGTCCTGCTTCCCCTTCCTCTTTGGGGCTGAGGAGGGGGTTAAAGGCCAAATGCTGTTTCCCAACACCCTGAAGTCTACACACGTCTCATGAATGCATCACACTTCTGTCATATGGATATTAGCCATTCCGAAATCTGTGTAATCAACTTCACATTATTCAAGTTACAAATCACTGTGTCCATAGAAAAATTATACTGGCATTTGCTGGACAAAGGGTTGGGCCCCTTTTATTTTTACCTGCCACCCAGCATCTCCCCCACCTGCCCCTTCTAGGTGACACGGTCTGTAAACAGAATCATGTATGGGTCTTTGTCTGAGTCTGTAGCACAGCAGGAAAAGCCCAGCAAGGACCCAGTTTGCACCGACAGCACCCACACCATGGGTAGTCCCACAGCAGGGAACCAAGCTGGCCTGAGGCATGCCCAGTTGTAACAATGCTGCTGTCACTGTCTCATTAAATATATGTCCTTTCGCCTGGTGTGTGTGTGGTGAATTGGGGACAAAGTAAGAGAAATTGGTTTGTTGACACAGAAGTCATTTGCAGGCTTAGGAAAGAGCTTTTGCCATCCAGTGGGGTTGAATGTAATATGGTGTGAGGTGAAATAACATGTCCTGATTGGTTGGGAGAACGACCTGTGGTGGTATCACACAGACTTGTTGAACATCTCTGGGCTTAAGCTGTTCTCCTGCCTCCACCTCCTGAGTAGCTGGGACTACAGGTGCATGCCACCACGCCCAGCTAATTTTTTGTATTTTTAGTAGAGACAGTTTTACCATGTTGGCTAGGCTGGTCTCAAACTCCTGGCCTCAGGTGATCTGCCCGCCTCGGCCTCCCAAAGTGCTGGGATTACAGGCGTGAGCCACGGCGCCCGGCCAGGCATCAGTTTTTCTTAGTGTCAGATGTCCTTCCAGAAGGGCATTCCCACCGGCAGTGTATGACAATGTCCATTACCCTATAGCCTCAACAGCAGATTGTGTGGTCATACCTTTCAATGCAGTGTGAGAAATGTGTATTTGTCATTTTAATTTGCATTTCTCTAATCATGAGTGAGGTCAAACTTCTCATATATTTCAGGATCTAATTTATTTATGAATTATGTGCCCATTTTTTCGATTGGGTTCTTGGTATTTTTTCTTCTTAGTTTCTCACATATTGGGGATATTAGCCTGTTATTTGTGAGATGTAAATATTTTCTTTATGAATTGCCATTTGACTTTGTGGTATTTTCTTTCCTATGGCGAAGTTTTATTTTGCTTACATTTTTATATGGTCACATTGATTAATGTTTATTTCATCTAAGTTTTAATGTCTGGAAGGGCTAGTCTCCCCTGTGCAATTTTTCTTTTTCTTTTTTTTTTTTTTTTTTGAGACGGAGTCTCATTCTGTCACCCTGGCTGGAATGCAGTGGCGCGATCTTGGCTTACTGCGAGCTCCACCTCCCAGGTTCATGCCATTCTACTGCCTCAGCCTCCCAAGTAGCTAGGACTACAGGCGCCTGCCACCATGCCCAATTTTTTTGTATTTTTTTTGGTAGAGACGGGGTTTCACTGTGTTAGCCAGGATGGTCTCGATCTCCTGACCTCACAATCTGCCTGCCTTGGCCTCCCAAAGTGCTGGTATTACAGGCGTGAGCCACCGTGCCCGGCCTCAATTTTTCTTTTTTAACAAACATCTTCTGCTGGGCATGGTGGTTCACACTTTCAATCCCTGCACTTTTGGAGGCCCAGGCTAGAAGACCACTTGAGTCCAGGAGTTCCAGACTAGCCTGGGCAACACACAGACTCCTTCTCTACCAAAATAATTAGCTGGGGGTGGTGGCATGTGCCTGTAGTCCCAGCACTCCAGAGGCTGAGGTGTGAGGATTGCTTGAGCTTTGGAGGTCGAGGCTACAGTGAGCCAAGATTGCGCCACTGCACTCTAGCCTGGATGATGGAGCGAGACCCTGTCTCAAAGAAAAAAAAAGTTTTCCTGGCGATTCTTACACATATATGAGCTTTTCAAAGCATATATTTAAATAACATTTTAATGACAAAATTTGATACTCTCAGGCATCAAAATGGAAATACCAACAGCAAGGTTTCCAGGGATGTCGAACACCGCAGAGCAGAGAGGCCTGGCTGGGTCTCCACTGTTGAGTTCGTCATGGTGCTTCTGCTTTGTTCTGATTAACGTTTGGTTACACACATGGAAAAATGACCTAAGAGAGTTGTTTTGAACAGTGCTTTTTCTCATTGTACAGCTTCTGGTAACAGTTTATTGCATCATTGATAGCTCTGGAAACTCTAAGTTTTCATCATTAGGGCTGTTACTAGCAAGGACCTGCAAGCCAGCCTCAAAATGCGAGAGGGCTGCCAACAGTCTTCCTGTGGTTAACTGCCGCAGCGCCCAGGGATCATCTTTCCTCTCCTCCTCCCCCACTGCCGGCTCCTGTTCCAGCTGCATTAGTTCCTCATTTGAGAGATCTTCATGGGACTGCAGCAACTGGTCCACAGCAGCCTCAGCAATCTCCTCAAAGGCCACATTTCTGGCAAGGGTCACAATGGTTTTTTTAAGCTGTGCAATGTTATCTACCCGGGAAAAATGCTGGGCCTGAACACACTCAGGCCAAATCTTCTCCCACACGCTGTTCATTATCGCTGGTTTGAGCTCCTCCCAAGTACGCGGTGTTGTCCACAGCATCCATGATGCTGTAGTTTCTCCAAAATTCCCTAATCACAGCTGTATCCTCACCATCCGTTGCTTCTAGGATGTGCTCAGAAGTCCTCAGATAGTGAGCTTTGAAGGCAGAGGCTACACCTTGACACATGGGCTGGATTTAGTCAGTTGTACCGTCATGAATGTATTATACTCTTATGTTATCTGAAACATCGCTCAAATTCACAGGGTGGCATGACGCATTGTCTAGTATGAGCAATGCTTTGTTGGTGAGATTATTTTAGGCACAGTGTTTTTCAACGGCAGGGCAAAAAAAGTAAGCGAACCATTCATGAAAGATGCTCCTGGTCCCCCAAGCTTTTCTGTTGGAGCGCCAAATCACGGGCAGATTGGGCTTCGAGTACCCCTTCAGAGCCCTGGGGGTTTCCAAGCGGTACACCAGTAAGGGCTTCAACTTAAAGTCCCCAGTGGCACTGCCACCAAGCAGCAGCATCAAGCGATCTTTGTATGACTTAAACCCTGGCTCAGCATTCTCTTCCTCGGAAGTGAACGTTTCTTCGGGCATTCTCTTCCAATCAAGTCCTGTCTCATCTACGTTAAAGACACCCGGGGGGCGTACTCACCTTCTTCGATGATGCTTTTCAGCATTTCTGTGTACATGTTCTTGTTGCTGGGAGCTGCGCTGTTCAACTTGAAGTGGGGCAAACAGTGGCGCTCCTTGAATCTCACAAGCCACCCTGACCCTTTACTCACATGAAACCTCTCCACTTGAGAGCTTTCGCCATGTTCACGCTGTAAGTCATCAAACAGCCTTCTGAACGATGGCGGCGTTCAAGGGCGCATTTCGCTGCCTCTGGTCTTCCAGCCACAAGCTCAGCAGCCGCTCCATACTCTCCATCACTGCACTTCGATGGCGAGTCAACCGTGAGGCTCTCAAAGGAGTAGCTATTTGAGAACTCGATTTTTTTCTTTACTATCTCAGATGGTCGCCACTGTAGAGACAGCAAGACCTAAGGCCTTTGCGATCTGACTGAGCTTTTCACCCGCTTCAAATCGTCGTAACACTTCCAATTTGAGGTCAAGGGTAATCACTTTCCGTTCCCTTTTGGCACTAGGGATGACAGTTGCATCTGTGGGCCTTTCCCCAGGCATTTCTGCCTCCAAAATGTCAGAAAATCACAGCGGTCTCAAGTGCAAGAAGGCTGTGGTTCCTCTACGTCCCCCTGCAGAACTCGGTAAACAGAAAACGAGGCTAGGAAGAGGCGCAGGCTGATGTCCCGGAGACGTGGACGGGTCGCCATGGGCAGGCCCAGCCCCACTGCCCAGCCCCGCTGCTTCACTGTCCACTCCGAGGAGGCCGCGCGGGTCTCCCGGTGCCGCTCCAGGTCCGCGTGGTGGGGCCGTGCGGCCGCAGGCACATACAAGCGGCCTGGGTTCTGGGGCTCCAGAAAAAGTTGCAACCAACCAAGCAGACAAACGGAACTCCGTGAGGGGGACACTGCGGCAGCAACGTCCCGGGGCGGTTTTCTACTGCAGCGGAGGGCGGGCCGGGCGGCTGTTCGGTTTCGGGAGCTGCTTTCCATGGAGGATCCCAGCAATAAGTGTGGATGCAGATGCCCGATTTAAGATAAGCCTAAAGGCGCTGGGTATCCCCTTAGCGCCCAGCTTTCTGGGCAGGACGAGCCTGCGCTGGCGATCAAAGCCTCGAACTGTCAGGCGACGGAGTGGACACCCAAGACTGGGCCCCAGCCGGCGCCGCGGCCCTGCTGCGCATGCGCGAGGCCTCCCTATGCGTGCGGGGCCGTAGGACCGCTCTCCCGTTGCGCATGCGCGCGCTCGGGCGGCGCGGGGTCTGGGTCTGGGGATGTGGTACCGGCCGCTGGCGGCGGCCGGCAGTATAGCGGTGGCCGGGCCACTGGCCTTGCTGTGGCGATGTGGTGGTCCAGGAGGCAGCAGGACGGCCAAGACCAGCGCGAGGGCCCTGGGCACGGCCCGGCAGGTGAGCGAGGAGGCGCTGTCCGCCGGTTCCGGGCGGCTGGTCTGCGCTGGACGCCGCGTGACGCCATTCGCCTGCGCCGGCCGCGGGGGAGCGCGGGAGCGCGGCGGCCCTGACCCGGTCCCCGCAGTGAGGCCGGCAGCCCCTGGCCGGAGCTTCCCGCCGCCCGCCTCCTCCTGGGCGTCCCCTCCGTCTCCAAACTCCTCTTCTCCCCGCTGCCTCTTCCACCCACTTGTTGCGGAATTCCCGCTGTTTCCTGGATGCCCGCGCACCTCGGACATCGGAACCGGGACCTCCAGCCTCCTTGCTGGGCTCTGTAGAGAGCCGGGCGTTGAGCGGTTTGCGCTTGAGTCCCACCTGCTCGCGAACCAACTTTGTGGCCCCGCGTGCCGGCCCGTTTCCTCCTGGGCTCGGCGGCATTCGGCTGTATCCACCTCGCAGTTACTCAGTGGACCAGATACGATGAGAGGCGTGAAAGGGTTTTGCAAACTGTTCTTCATTCAGCGACCAGTCACTGTCGTAACAGCTAATACTGAGAGCTAACGGCTTTACGCGGATTGTCTGTCTTACACCCGCCCTGTAGGTAGATATGGCTGTAACCGTATTGTAATTTATTATATTATTTTTTAAATTTGGGGGCGGGGCCGGAGTCTCGCTGTGTTGTCTAGGCTGGAATCGAACTCATGGGCACAAGCGATTCTCCTGTCTCAGCCTCTGGAGTAGCTGGGACTACAGGCTTGAGCCACGTGCCCTGCTCATAACCCTGTTTTTTATAGGGTTATAGTCTAAGGCCGGAATATTCTGTATTTTAAGATTGCTTTATTTTTTTTATTTTTATTTTTTTTTTTTGAGACGGAGTCTCGCGCTGTGTCACCCAGGCTGGAGTGCAGTGGCGCGATCTCGGCTCACTGCAAGCTCCGCCTCCCAGGTTCACGCCATTCTCCTGCCTCAGCCTCCGAGTAGCTGGGACTACAGGCGCCCGCCACCACGCCCGGCTAGTTTTTTGTATTTTTAGTAGAGACGGGGTTTCACCATGTTAGCCAGGATGGTCTCGATTTCCTGACCTCGCGATCCACCCGCCTCGGCCTCCCAAAGTGCTGGGATTACAGGCTTGAGCCACCGCGCCCGGCCAAGATTGCTTTATTTTTATGTTGCTACATCCCAGTGGGCAGCAGTAAAGTTGAATTTTTTTTTTTTTCTAATGCAGAGTTTTTGAATTTTGATCCCAGAAAACTGTCATGGTTTTCAGACAGTAGTAAAATAAAAAGAAGGGTTCCATGAGTATTTCTGTCCTGTCTTCAGGAATGAACTTTCCCTTCATCTCCATTCATTTGGGAAACTGTATGATGGTTTTGTTTCTAGCAATATGAGCGAAAGCAGTCTTTCACCTGTGGCCATGTGGCATCAGCATTGCAGAGGCCCTCCTGGTGGTTAACACATGTTAACAGTCAGCAATGTACAATATCAGTGTGTACAGCCTAATACAGCCCAGGAGAGTTTTGAATCATTGAACTGCTATAGACCCCTTTATGAAGGGAGGACGGACGTTGAGTGATCTTTGAGTTCCTTCCCAGACTGGGTCATTCATCTGTATCTCATTTATTAGAGATCGATCTGTTAATCATCTACCAGGGAATGTCTGGGTGAACACAACAGGCAAGGGCTCTGCCCCACTGGCTTGCTCTCCTTTGAGAGCTTAATGACTTGTGGACTGAGGGTGACATGCAGAAGTTGGAGAGGTGGCAGCAATTTGCTTTTTTTTTTTTTTTGAGATGGAGTTTCCCTCTTGTTGCCCATGCTGGAGTGCAGTGGCGCAATCTCAGCTCACCGCAACCTCCGACTCTCAGGTTCAAGCGATTCTCCTGCCTCAGCCTCCCAAGTAGCTGGGATTACAGGTGCCCGCCACCACACCCAGCTGATTTTTGTATTTTTTTTTTTTTTTTTTTTTTTTGAGACGGAGTCTTGCTCTGTTGCCCGGGCTGGAGTGCAGTGGCCGGATCTCAGCTCACTGCAGGCTCCGCCTTCCGAGTTTACACCATTCTCCTGCCTCAGCCTCCCGAGTAGCTGGGGCTCCAGGCGCCGGCCACCTCGCCCGGCTAGTTTTTTGTGCTTTTTTTTTTTTTTTTTTTTTTTTTTTAAGTAGAGACGGGGTTTCACCGTGTTAGCCAGGATGGTCTCGATCTCCTGACCTTGTGATCCACCCGTCTCGGCTGGGATTACAGGCTTGAGCCACTGCGTCCGGCACTGATTTTGTATTTTTAGTAGAGACGGCCGGGCACAGTGGCTCGCGCCTGTAATCACAGCACTTTGGGAGGCCGAGATGGGCGGATCACCTGAGGTGGGGAGTTGGAGACCAGTCTGACCAATGTGGAGAAACCCCGTCTCTACTTAAAGTATAAAATTAGCCGGGCGTGGTGGCAGGCGCCTGTAATCCCAGCTTCTCGGGAGGCTGGGGCAGGAGAATTGCTTGAACCTGGGAGGCGGAGGTTGCGGTGAGCCAAGGTTGCGCCGTTGCACTCCAGCCTGGGAGTGGGACTCCGTCTCAAAGAAAACAAAACGAAAAACGCCCTAACAGCTCTCTTCATGGACGCTTATGTTGTGTAGGCTTCCATGCAGTCATCTTTCATTCATTGAGCTACCTACTCTATCCTTGTTCTCATGGAGTTTACGTGCTGTGCAAGGAGGAACCAGACAATAAATAAGCAAGTATTAGGCATGTAAGGAAAGGAAGCAGAATAAAGGAAATAGAAAATGAAGAAAGGGAATAGAGGAGGGATAAACCCTGTTACTTGTGTCTCCTGCAGGAAGTGAGGGATTCAGATGAGCTTACTCGGAGAATGGAATAGAAAGTGCCCTGCCCTAGGGTAGGTCCAGCCTTGTGTTTGTGTGATCAGCATGAGGAAGAGTTTAGTGAGAGACAGTGAGGCCAAGGAGGGGCAGGGCCTCATAGACCTGCTGAGGTTGCACCTGTGTGCTGTGTGCGCGTCTGTGGGACCCAGAATAAGGGTCAACTCATTTATGGTCTGACTGGAAAGAGGACAGCAGCACTTTGCCCTGTTTAAGGGAGTTTGTGTTTTGCCCACCTTCACATCTTGACTTTGCATATACAAAAACTAATTTAGCAAGATTATCTATTGTGAGCTGTGAACTGACTTGCGGAAAACTCCAAGAAGGAATGGTAGACTCTTGTCTCAGTGTTTACGTTTACTGTGAGAACTACATCTGACTTAACCAGATTGTGTCCTAACCAAATCACAAAAGGACTAAATTGTGAATTAAAGCAAAGGAATTGGATGTTTTATCAAGTTTTGGAAGCCTGAAGAGTCATACTTTGTACCTTCAGGGCTGTAGGCTACCTGGTATCTACCCAGCCACCACGACCAGCGCCACGCCGTCTTTGGGGTGGTCCTGGAAAAGCCCTGGAAGATTGGGGCATCAGAACTCTCTGCACACCTTCAGCGACCAGCTGTCTTCAGGCACTCACATTACCTCTCAGTTTCTACTTTCTCAGATGGGCAGTGGGGATCAAGTGAGGTAAGAGGCACTTGGCACCCTACAATGTGCAGTACGACCGCCTTCTGTTCTTTGCGTAGGTTTCCTGTTGACCCACGCCTTGGGTTCCAAACCCCCATCGGGGAAACACACATTCATGGGACCCTTGGAGAGTCATTGCTCGCTCTGTGTCAGGTACCGTGCGCCGCTGGTGCGGGGATGGCTGCTGCAGATGGATTTCATTCATGATGCAGGAGCCTTTGCTAGCCCCACAGCCTTTACTGTCAGCATTCTCTTTCTGAGCTGCTTTTTTTTTTTCCCTGACTTTAATATCTTTTTCATAGCATGTCTTACGTTTTAGTCTACTGTGGTCTTTTACAGGGATATTTGAATAGTGTAGTTAATTAGAAAGTTACTAATGGGGGAATGAGTTTACTTTGGGGTAATAGCCTACAGAGTTGCATCACCCTGAATGTTGACGCAGCTGAAATAACACAGGTGTTGTCAACTATTGGTCTTGTTTCATTATAACAAAATATTGGAGGCTCACGGCTATCATCCCAGCACTTTGGGTGGCTGAGGCAGGTAGATCACCTGAGGTCAGGAGTTCAAGAACAGCCTGACCAATATGGTGAAACCCTGTCTCTAATAAAAATACAAAAATTAGCCAGCGTGGTGGTGTACACCTGTAATCCCAGCTACTTGGGAGATAGGGAGAATCGCTTGAACCCAGGAGGCAGAGGTTGCAGTGAGCTGAGATCACGCCACCGTAGTCCAGCCTGGGTGACAGAGGAAGACTGTCTCAAAAATAAATAAATAAATAAAATATTGGGGACAATATAAATTCACTGGTTATGTTGGGATTTTGTTGGATACAGTTAGTACTGGGTTATTGAGTACTTAGATTTTGTTTTTATATATATATATATGTTTGTGTGTGTGTGTGTTTTTGAGACAGAGCCTCACTGTCGCCAGGCTGGAGTGCAGTGGCACGATCTCGGCTTACTGCAACCTCCGCCTCCCAGGTTCAAGCAATTCTCCTACCTTAGCCTCCCGAGTAATTGGGAATACAGGCGCCCACCTCCATGCCTGGCTAATTTTTGTACTTTTAGTACAGACGGGGTTTCACCATGTTGGCCAGGCTGGTCTCAAACTCCTGACCTCACGTGATCCTCCTGCCTCAGCCTCCCAAAGTGCTGAGATTACAGACATGAGCCACGGCACCCGGTGGACGTTTTCCTCCTTGAAGACTGAAGAAAATACAGAGCTGCTGGAAAAATTGTTTTCTTGGCCTGACAAAAACTCTTACCTCTTGCTGGATGCCGTATTACCTGCCTGTTGTCCCTGCTGTGAATAGCCACTGCACTCCAATGAGATCCCATCTTAAAAAAAAAAAAAAAAAAAAAAAAAGGCTAGGCTCACGCCTGTGATCCCAGCACTTTGGGAGGTGAAAGTGGGCAGATCACCTGAGGTGAGGAGTTCGAGACCAGCCTAACCAACATGGTGAAACTCCATCTCTACTAAAAATACAAAAATTAGCCGGGCAAGGTGGCGGGCGCCTGTAATCCCAGCTACTCGGGAGACTGAGGCAGGAGAATGGCATGAACCCTGGAGGCAGAGGTTGCAGTGAGCTGAGATCACACCACTGCACTCTGGCCTGGGCAAGAGCAAAACTCGGTGTCATAAAAAAAAAAAAGAAAGAAAAGAAATTAATCTCTCGGTTGACCAAAGATGAGTCATAGTGTATTTCAGTATTTAAATTTTACGCATTTGTATGTTTTAGTCTTACAGTCTTATTTTTGAAGCTGCAATATTTTAAGTTACTAAATAAAGTTGCCTCCGTTTCTTAGCCATGTTTTTTGTTTTTTAGGGAGCTTTTTGCTTGCTGTTGGAGGCTATAGCTATAAAAATTTGCAGTGCATTTCTGCAGTGAACTTGTTCCTGTTTAGTTCTATTGAATCATATTTCTAATGGGATATTTAAGGCAATAAACTCACACCTCGTCCTGCTTCCTCCTGTGGTTGTGGCCAGTGAGAATGAGCAGTGTTGTATTGAATAAGAAGCTGATAAGCTCATCTGGTGTCTTGTTTCAGTGCCTCCGAGGGATCCACTTTCAGAAACCGACTCTGCAGGCGAGATCAACGTTTTTTTCCTGGTGGCTGTGTTCAAAACCACCCAAAGGTGCCTGTCTTTCATCTACCATCGTTAGCAGCATGAGGTTTACAGGAACTGAGTGTGACTTTTACAGTGAGTGACCAGGGGGTGAGGATCAAGACCACTCAGGGCACACCCCACTGCACCCCGCCCCATTCTACCCCTTCCTGGCTTCCATATTGAGCCACACAACGTCCAACACTTTCTCTGTGTCTTTATGGTGTTGATATCTCAGTAAAGCTGGTGAGAGAAAAGCTCTTTCCAAAGGAAGGTGCTAGATGAATCTTTTGGAAGGCATGGGAACAAACCTTGGTTTCTGCATATCTCACTCTGCGGACCAGCTAAGCCTCATGTTTGGAAAGCAGAACAAAAACAATGTGCAGACTGTCATTAGCTCAGAGCACACTTGCCCACTTGGAGTCCTTCTGTAGGCCATGGACCTGGGCTTTGTGCTTTGTGTCCAGGGACGGTGTTCACTGAAGTCCCTGGAGACCCTGTGTCCCCACAGAGTAGAAGGTGCTCCCTGCACTTGCCTCATTGTTAGGACCTGAGGGCCCTTGCTGATTGTATGAAGTGAGAAGAGAGAGACAGGAGGAGGGAAAACTGTCCTGTGTCTCACTTTCTCTATAGCGACTTGACAGTATGATTGCTTTTCTTTTTTTTTCTTTTTTTTTTTGAGACAGAGTCTCGCTCTGTCACCCAGGCTGGAGTGCAATGGTGTGATCTCGGCTCACTGCAAGCCCCGCCTCCCGGGTTCACGCCATTCTCCTGCCTCAGCCTCCTGAGTAGCTGGGACTACAGGCGACCACCACCACGCGCAGCTAATTGTTTTGTAGTTTTAGTAGAGACGAAGTTTCACCGTATTAGCCAGGATGGTCTTGATCTCCTGACCTTGTGATCTGCCTGCCTTGGCCTCCCAAAGTGCTGGGATTACAGGTGTGAGCCACTGCGCCCGGCCAAGCAGTGTGTCTATGAAGACTGATGTTTGTCCTTAACATTTATGCAAATTTTTACTCCATCTTGTAATATGTTTGCCATTCCTGGGGTCACCTTGGCCTTCTCTGGCCTTTCATGTTGTTACTTTGCGGTAGTTGGAGTAGCACTGTATTTGTGAAGCGGACAGTGTCATAGCTTACTTGTCCTGGAACTTGTCCTGGAACATTACAGGAGGAGGCTGGTAGGTCCGTGGGTCACAAGTGTATGTAGGAGGCCAGATTTTTTGGAGGAGAGGCAGACTCTGCTTAGAACAGGTGGTTTGTGTTCCCTGGTTCTCTTGAGAAGGGGGACCACCCATACCAGTCTGCCTTATTATCATTTTCTTCCTTTCTTTCTTTCCTCTAATTATAGCCGATTTTGGGACTGTTACCCCAAAAAAGTTTGCTATTAAAGCTCAACATTAAGCCAACAAGGTGAAATTTTAGGGATTTTAGATGTGTCTGAAGCCACTTCTCAGCAGTATCTCCCCAGTCTCATCCTTTTCCTGGTGTCTGTTTATTTCCAGAAGGCACTGGTGTTATTAAAATTGTGTGTTGGAAAGTGTTTTGCTGTTTTCTGAGTCCTCTTTCTCTGGAAAATTATATGTAATTGCTTTTTGAAGTCAGACTTTGTTTTCTCTCAGAGACTGGTGAGCCAAAGAATGCCGAGCCTGGGGGAGATGGAAGCAGGAGAGGAGGGAAGCGGGATGACGTTGCCTGGTGGAGGCGGATGCAGAAGGTTTGTGTGCATCTTTGTCTACGCCTGCTGCTGTAACAGAATACATCAGACTGGATAATTTATAAACAGGATACATTTACTGCTCATGGTTGTGGAGGCTGGAGGTACAAGGTCGCAACGTGGACAACATGGTGAAACCTCGTCTCTACAAAAAATACAAGAATAAGCCAGGCGTGGTGGCGTGTGCCTGTAGTCCCCACTACTCAGGAGGCTCAGGCGGGAGGATTGCATGAACGTGGGAGTTGAGAGTGTGGTGAGCCATGATCACACCACTGCACTCCAACCTGGGCGACGGGTTGTGAGGGCACCAATCCCATTCGTGAAGGCAGAGCTGTTGGGACCTAATCCCCTCCCAGGGGCCTCATCTCTTAATACCTTTGCCTTAGGGGTTGAGGCCCAACATGGGAATTATGGGAGAACACATACATTCAAACCCACATCAATCTTTCTGCTTGTTTAAAGGTGAGCTGTTGAATTAGTTCATAAGTTTCAAAGAAGTTAGTTTCTAAAAATGTCCTGAGGCCGGGTGCAGTGGGTCATGCCTGTAATCCCAGCACTTTGGGAGGTGGGAGGATTACTTGAGCCTAGGAGTTCGACACCAGCCTGGGCAACATAGCGAGACCTCGTCTCTACCAAAAAAAAAAAAAAAAAATTAGCCAGGCGTGCTGGCATGCACCTCTGGTCCCAAGTACTCAGGAGGCTGAGGCAGGAGGATTGCTTAAGCCCAGGAAGTTGAGGCTGCAGTAAACCATGATCGCGTGATTGCACTCCAGCCTGGGTGACCAAGTAAGATCCTGCCTCAAAAAAAAAAAAAGGCCAGGCGCGGTTGCTCAAGCCTGTAATCCCAGCACTTTGGGAGGCCGAGACGGGCGGATCACGAGGTCAGGAGATCGAGACCATCTTGGCTAACCCGGTGAAACCCCGTCTCTACTAAAAAATAAAAAAAGTAGCCGGGCGAGGCGGCGGGCGCCTGTAGTCCCAGCTACTCGGGAGGCTGAGGCAGGAGAATGGCGTGAACCCAGGAGGCGGAGCTTGCAGTGAGCTGAGATCCGGCCACTGCACTCCAGCCTGGGCGACAGAGCGAGACTCCGTCTCAAAAAAAAAAAAAAAAAAAAAAAAAAAAAAAAAAAAAAAAAAAGAAGTGCTGAGATTTCTGTTTGGATTTTATTATTATTTTTTGAGGTAAGGTCTCACTCGTCATCCAGGCTAGAGTGCAGGGATACGATCAGATACAATCACTGCTCACTGTAGCCTTGACCTCCCAGGCTCAGATGATTCTCCCACCTCAGCCTCTAGAACAGCTGAGACCACAGGCGTGCACCACCACTCCTGGCTAATTTTTTTTTAAATTTTTTGTAGAGACGGGGTCTCCCAATGTTGCCCAGGCTGGTTTCGAACTCCTGGGCTCAAGCAATCCTCTCACCTCGGCCTCCTTGAGTGCTGGGACTACAGACGTGAGTCACCATGCCTGGCCTCTATCTGGATTTTAACAGACTCACATAAGAGATAACCCTAGCAACAGTGGCTCAAACACAGCGCTCTTTGTGGACTTTCTGCTTCTCCTGGGGCATCTGGTGAGCTGCAGCTTTCAGTGTGTTTCGTACACCATATGAAGATCTTTCCTCATGAGAGGAACTGAGGCTACATTGTGTAGGGTCCGGAGAGGGGGTTGGAAAACTTTTGTAATAACATCTGAAAAAGGAAGTAGCCATTTTCATGAAGAAACTATTTTCATTTAACTGGAAAATGTGTTTTCTTTTTCCCACAGGGGGACTTCCCCTGGGATGACAAGGATTTCCGCAGTCTGGCCCTTTTGGGGGCAGGTGTTGCCGTGGGATTTTTCTACCTCTATTTTCGAGATCCTGGAAGAGAAATCACTTGCAAGCACTTTGTACAGAATTACCTGGCCAGAGGTCTGGTGAGAGGCATTTATAGTTCACCTACCTGGGAAGGAGGCCGCTGTAGTGGTGTACACGTGGTCTGCGATGCCCGTAAGAAGCTGTGAGCGCTGAGGCCTGGGTTGAGAATGCATTGTGTGGTAGATGTGCTGGGCAGTCCCACCCTCTGGTCATAGATGAGACACAGTTTTACTTTTCCCAGGAGTGGCCCCAACAGAAGGTGAGTAAGCTCAGTTTCGTGCTGGGTGGAAGCTTCCTTAACATCTTGGCTTTTTTTTTTTTTTTTTCAGCTTCAGCTTCTGTGAGTAAGTTCTGATTGTCTGTGTCTGTTTATCATCAAGTGTCAATTTCTTATTTAATTCAGATCTTTTCTTTCCCCTAGTGTACCCCTGTCTACTCCTGCACCCCTGTGCCCTGCTGAGTGGCCCTGGACAGTAGTTGGGGGCTTTGTGTCTGTGCACAGGGGCATATGGCACCAACAAGCCTCCGCCTGTCCTTCACTGGGCCTGGGTCTGTCAGGTTGCTGAAGGCAGGTGAAGCACTGCTCAGGCTTTAGTATAAAGTTACATGAGAGCAAGTGCTGTGCTTCTCAGTTGCCCTCAGAAAGATATTTGTTAAGTGATGCAGTGTTAAGATCTGAACTTCTTTCTGTAGGAAAATCTTGTTTTCCCAGCAGGGTTTGTGGCTAAGGCCTTTTTTTTTTTTCTTTTTGAGACAGGGTCTTGCTCTGTCACCCAGGCTGGAGTGCAGTGGTGTGAAGTCTCGACCTTCTGGTTCCAAGCCAGCCTCCCACGTCAGCCTTCTGAGTGTCTGGGACTATAAAAAACATATTTTTTTTTTTTTTTTTTTGGAGATGGAGTCTTGTTGTGTCGCCCTGGCTGGAGTACAGTGGCGTGATCTCTATTCACTGTAACCTCCACCTCCCTGGTTCAAGTGATTCTCCTGCCTCAGCCTGATGAGTAGCTGGGATTACAAGTGCACATCACCACGCCTCCACGGGAGGTGGAGGTTGATAATTTTTTGTATTTTAGTAGAGACAGGGTTTCACTGTGGTGCCCAGGCTGGTCTCGAACTCCTGAGCTCAGGCAGTCCTCCCGCCTTGGCCTCCCAAAGTGCCAGGATTACAGGCGTGAGCTACCGTGCCCGGCCCGCAATTTCTTTTTTTAGAGACAGCGTCTCCTTATGTTGCCCAGGCTGGTCTCAGACTCCTGGGCTCTAGTGATGCTCCCACTTCGGCCTCCTGAAGTGCTGCAATTATAGTTGTGAACCACCACCCAAGGCCTTTTTGTCTGGCCACAGGGCACACAGCTGTCTTCAGAGAGGTCCTTGACGACTCCTTATGCGAGGAGGGGAGAGCTGCTGTAGCCCCTCTCTGCCGTGGGTCTTCACCCACAGCTGCTGCCATGAGGAGGGGTGAGACAGATAATTTGGCCCACGATGCCTGCTGGTGTGTGGGTTCTGGACAGATCCCAGAGCTTCTGCGAGGTCCTTTTCAGGCATCTGACACGCTGACCGTGCCGCGGTTGTGGGGTTAGGCTCGAGACACACCTGTCATAAACACGTTGATGTTGGTCACATGACCCTGAGTAGTCAAGAAAAGTTGTGTCGTTGTGGTTTCCGTTTCTGTGGAGGGGGAAGAGCAACGCTGTTGTCATCATACCTGACGAAATGGCTGCCCCTCCCGTGTTTTTGCTGCACGCCGGCTCTCAGGCCGTGTTCGCCGCTGGGTGGCTGCGTGGAGGCCTTTGGGGTTGCGTTTTCATTCTTGGCCCCATTTTCTTGTGCTGTCTGCAGCTGTGTGGGCGAAATGTTTCTGGAAGACTTTGCTGTATTGTCAGCTGAGACTTCTATACCTTTTAGATTTTTTTTTTTTTTTTCAGATGGAGCCTCACTCTGTTGCCCAGGCTGGAGTGCAGTGTGCAATACTGGCTCACTGCCACTGCCGCCTCCCAGGTTCAAGCAGTTCTCCCTGCCTCAGCCTCTTGAGTAGCTGGGATTACAGGCGCACACTACCACATCCGACTAATATTTGTATTTTTGGTAGAGACAGGGTTTCACCATGTTGGCCAGGCTCGTCTCGAACCCCTGGCCTCAAATGATCCACCCTCCTCAGCCGCCCAAAGTGCTGGGATTAGAGGTCTGAGCCACCGCGCCCAGCCTTCCTTTTAGGTTTCAAGTCGCTCTGGAATCTTTGGTGCTCAGATCTCAGATGTACCAGGTCTGAGCCACCGCGCCCGGCCTTCCTTTTAGATTTTTAGGTCACTCTGGAATCTTTGGTGCTCAGATGTACCAGGTCTGAGCCACCATGCCTGGCCTTCCTTTTAGGTTTTAAGTTACTCCGGAATCTTTGGTGCTCTGGAATCTTTGGTGCTCAGATCTCAGATGTACCAAATTGTAAATCCTCTGAATTACGTGCACAGGCCAGGCTAGAAATGTCCGAATCAGTGGGAAAACAAAACTCGGATCTGCACAGCAGAGTGGATGCAGCTTCTCAGACACCGTCAGAGTCTCGGTCTGCACTGTGGGACTAGTCTGAGGATAAGCCTGAGGTTTAGTATCGAATATGATACTCACTGCTTTAGCCGTGGGCTGGTCTGAGGGTGAGGCCCTGTTTACTGTTGAATATCATACTCATTGCTTTAGCCGTGCTGATTATTTTTCTCTTTTTCCCAGGTGGACCGGCTGGAAGTCGTGAACAAACAGTTGGTGCGTGTTATTCCTGCCCCTGGGACCTCTTCTGAGGTGAGGGGTGAGTTTGAGGCTGAGTACTCCAGACATAAGTTTTTTTCAGTAAAATACTCCCTTAGTATCCATCAACTACTCTTTAATGTGATTTTTTTTTCTCATTGGCATGTATCAATAACAAAGCTTTCCAAGTAGGACAGGAGCCCTTATAAGACTAACTAGGATTCAGATTTGCCATGCAGTGTCTGAGAACAACTTATTGAGGATTGTGGGGAGAGAAGAGACAAAAATAAAAGAGTAAAAAGCAAAAAGGAACGGCTGGGCATGGTGGTTCATGCCTGTAATCCCAGCACTTTGGCAGACAGAGGTGGGCGGATTACTTGCGGCCAGGAGTTAAAGACTTGCCTGGCCAACATGGTGAAACCCCATCTTTACTAAAAGTACAATAATTAGCCAGGCATGGTGGCCTGTACCTGTAATCCCAGTTACTCAGGAGGTTGAGGCATGAGAATTGCTTGAACCCGGGAGGTGGACGTTACAGTAAGCCAAGATCATCCCACTGCACTTCAGCCCGGGTGACAGAGGGAGACTGTCTCAAAAAGAAAAAGAGACAAAGGCACACCCCAGCAGTCATTGGACATTTTACACTTTTGTCTAGAACTTAAAGACTGTAATTTCGTGGGGCCAAAACCAGAGTCTTCTGCTGTTAGTATAGTTTCCCTTGGAGCTAGCCTCGGCACCGGCCTCGTCCATGTTGTGGAGATTAAGGCTAGGAGAAGAGGTAGTGGGAGGTGCATGTGTGAGGGTGGGGCTCAGTGTGGGACACAGTGATGCACCCTAAGCTTGCTCTTGCTCTCTGCAGAAGTTCGTGTGGTTTAACATTGGCAGTGTTGACACCTTTGAGCGGAACCTGGAGTCTGCTCAGTGGGAGCTGGGGATTGAGCCCCCCAACCAGGCAGCAGTGGTCTACACCAATGAGAGTGACGGGTGAGGAGGATGGTGAAGGGCCTCTGTTTGAACACGAAACAAAAATGCCATGTTTAACCTGTTTTGGAATATATTTCTCAAACTTATAAGCATCTATAATAAGCAATGCCTGTAGTAAAAAATATATATATATGCTTTTATATATATATGGGTGTGTGTGTGTATATATGTGTGTGTATATATATGTTTTTTACTCTGTTTTTCATGAGAAGAGAATTGAAGCAGGGAAATAATTTGACTACGCAGCCTTAAAAAAGAAAACCAGTCGTTTGGGTGTCTTTGTTGCAGCAGAAATTCCCTGAAGTCCTGTAGGGAGCCTTCCACAATTGACTGTGCAGCAGGATCACTACGGGAGCCCTGTCAAAATGCTCTTCTGTCATTTCTACCTGCCACTCCTGCAGAACTGTCGAATTAATGTCCAGAGGCGGGGCTTGTGCACCTGTGACTTCCCCAGGCTCCCTGTTGGGCAGCCCTGACCCATCCTCCCAGGTGCTGGGGGTCCCTGCACACAACTCTGCAGCTCCTATGTAGTACCTGACACTTGGTCGTTCTTTTTTTTTTTTCTTTTTGAGACAGAGTCTCGCTCTGTCGCCCAGGCTTGGAGTACAGTGGTGCAATCTCGGCTCACTGCAAGCTCTGCCTCCTGGGTTCACGCCATTCTTCTGCCTCAGCCTCCCGAGTAGCTGGGACTATAGGCACCCACCACCATGCCTGGCTACTTTTTTGTATTTTTAGTAGAGATGGGGTTTCACCATGTTAGCCAGGATGGTCTCGATCTCCTGACTTTGTGATCTGCCCGCCTGGGCCTCCCAAAGTGTTGGGATTACAGGTGTGAGCCACCGCACCTGCCCGACACTTGGTCATTCTAAGCTTCCCATGGTTCTCATGTTATCTTGGATTTCCACTGCATCGTATGTTCTTTTTTTTTTTTTTTTTTTGAGACGGAGTCTCGCTCTGTCGCCCAGGCTGGAGTGCAGTGGCCGGATCTCAGCTCACTGCAAGCTCCGCCCTCCACGTTCACGCCATTCTCCTGCCTCAGCCTCCCGAGTAGCTGGGACTACAGGCGCCCACCACCACGCCCGGCTAGTTTTTTGTATTTTTTAGTAGAGACGGGGTTTCACCGTGTTAGCCAGGATGGTCTCGATCTCCTGACCTCGTGATCCGCCCGTCTCGGCCTCCCAAAGTGCTGGGATTACAGGCTTGAGCCACCGCGCCCGGCCTATTGTATGTTCTTAAAGTAATTATGGACATGAGGGCAAAGACCAGATGAAATACTCTGTGCTTCCCAGGACTCAGCACAGAAGTCAGTGTTGCTGAGTGTGGATCCTGTTTTCATGTTTACATCCTGGGGATGTCATTGCTCTGTCTTCTCCGGCCCTTCTGCCCAGAATTGAAAACTGAACCGAGAGAGTACAAATCCAGTACCAGCTTTAGCCAGGAGGGTGTAAAAATTGGAATTGTAGTGGTTTTGGTGGTTTCTTTGAGACATATGTTTAAGCACAGAGTAGGGGCCGCAGTGGGGTGAGAGAAGGTGAGGCAGGTAGAAATCTGGAGATTAACTCTCAGATTCTAGTGGCAGGGCTCAGGCCTGTGGTCTCCTGCTGGAGCTCCTGGATGTCATCTAGGTGCTGTTTATTGCTGACTTGGGTTCTGTCTTTGCTTGTTGAGTTGCCGGGAATGCCTGGTTGTATGTGGGGCTGAAAGGGACTGCAGAGCCACTGGAGGAGGGATGGCCTCTGAAGAGCAAGAGCAAAGATAAAAAATAAAGCAAGAAGACATTTGGTGTCTTCCTCTGATGAAACAGGCCCGGTTGGCCCTAGATGCCAGGAGGCCTTGCTGGGTCTGCTGGAGGCACCTCCTGGCTCCTGGGGGAGATGTGGTGTAAGCTCCAGCAGGGCTGCTTGGCCGGGTGGAGGAGGTGGTGGGTGGTGGAATTGGTCACCCTCCCTGCCCCACCAAGGCAGCCACAGGTTACATCAGGGAGATAGAAATGCCTGTGACTAGAGCCTTCAGAACTGGAGAGGCCTAGTGCTGGACGGACTTTGACACATTTTTTAAAAAAGAGGCTGGGCGTGGTGGCTCATTCCTGTAATCCTAGCATTTTGGGAGACCGAGGCAGGTGGATCATGAGGTCAAGAGATCTGAGACCATGCTGGCTAACAGGGTGAAACCCCGTCTCTACTAAAAATACAAAAAATTAGCCGGGCGTGGTGGCGGGTGCCTGTAGTCTCAGCTACTTGGGAGGCTGAGGCAGGAGAATGGTGTGAACCCGGGAGGCGGAGCTTGCAGTGAGCCGAGATCGCACCACTGCACTCCAGCCTGGGTGACAGAGGGAGACTCCATCTCAAAAAAAAAAAAAAAAAAAAAGGACGAGGGCCGGGCGTGATGCTCACATAGGTAATCTCAGCGCTTTGGGAGGCTGAGGAGGGGGGATCACCTGAGACTAGCAGTTTGAAACCAGCTGGACAACGCAGTGAGACAAGACTGCGTGTCTATAAAAAGTTAAATATCTGGTGTGGTGGCACGCATGCCTGTGGTTCTAGCTACTCAGGAGGTTTAGGCAGGAGAATCTCTTGAGCCTGGGAGTTCAAAGTTACTGTGATCGTGCCACTGCCCACCAGCCTGGGTGACAGTGAGACCCTATCTCAAAAAAAGGAAAAAAACCTGCTCCCTTTTGTGTAGCAAAACAAAGTCCTAGAGCGGTCTCTTCTAAGAGGGTTTTGCTTTGTCATCCAGGCTGGAGTGTAGTTGTGCAATCATGGCTCATTGCAGCCTTGAACTCCCAGGCACAGGCAGTCCTCTCACTTCAGCCTCCTGAGTAGCTGGAACTACAGGCACACGCCACCACGCCCAGCTAATTTTTGTATTTTTAGTAGAGATGGTTTCACCAGGTTGGTTAGGCTGGTCTCGAACTCCTTACCTCAGGTGATCCACCTGCTTCGGCCTCCCAAAGTGCTGGGATTACAGGTGTGAGCCACCACGCCCGGCCATTTTTATATTTTTTGTAGGGACACAGTCTGGCCATGTTGCCCAGGCTGGTCTTGAACTGCTAGGCTCAAGAGATCCTCCCACGGTGGCCTCCCAAAGTGCTGGGATTATAGGTGTGACCCACCGTGCCTGGCACAAAGGTGCTATTTCTGACCTCCTGAGCGTGACAAGTAGTTCTCTTGGATTTTCCAGCTCTTTATTGCGAAGACTGGTGCCCACCCTTCTCCTGGTTGGCATTCTCCTCTATGCTGCCAGGAGGGGCCCTATGGGAGCCAGGCGCAGTAGACGAGGAGGGGGCCTCTTCAGTGTTGGTGAGACAACAGCCAAGATCTTAAAGAGCAACATCGATGTGCGATTTGCGGATGTAGCTGGGTGCGAAAGAAGCCAAATTGGAAATTATGGAATTTGTGAATTTCCTGAAGAATCCCAAGCAGTATCAGGACTTGGGAGCAAAAATTCCAAAGGTACTGATTTTAGAAAATGTAGTAATCCTCTGAGCTCCAAGTCAAAGCCAGAGATGGCTGTGGGTCAGAGTAGGTTCTTACTCCTGTTTTATTAGTTTGTTTAATATTTATTACATAGAACAATAGGTACAACTTGTATGAACAGGCTTGGGATCAGATGTAGCTGCCTCTTTTAAGCCCATGACCCAGACAGCGGCTAGGTCTGTGCAGCCGGACAGCGGCTAGATCTGTGCAGCCAGACCGCGGCTAGGTGTGTGCAGCCGGACCGTGGCTAGGTGTGTGCAGCCGACAGTGGCTAGGTGTGTGCAGCCGGACCGTGGCTAGGTGTGTGCAGCCGGACCGTGGCTAGGTGTGTGCAGCCGGACCGTGGCTAGGTCTGTGCAGCCGGACCGCGGCTAGGTGTGTGCAGCTGGACCGTGGCTAGGTGTGTGCAGCTGACAGCGGCTAGGTGTGTGCAGCCGGACCGTGGCTAGGTGTGTGCAGCCGGACCGTGGCTAGGTGTGTGCAGCCAGACCGTGGCTAGGTCTGTGCAGCCGGACCGCGGCTAGGTGTGTGCAGCAGGACCGCGGCTAGGTCTGTGCAGCCGGACCGCGGCTAGGTGTGTGCAGCCGACAGCGGCTAGGTGTGTGCAGCCAGACAGCGGCTAGGTCTGTGCAGCCGGACCGTGGCTAAGTCTGTGCAGCAGGACCGCGGCTAGGTCTGTGCAGCCAGCCAGTCAGCGCGTTGTGGGTGGTGTGGGTCAGGGTGCCAGATCTGGCTGCTGGGCACACAGAGCAAGTTTATCTCTTGGTGCCATTTTGGGGTCATGACTCTTTGAGGGCCTGACAGAAGCCATGGATTTTTTTCCCAGAAATATTTGCATTCACAGAAACTCGATTCACACACCCTTTAAATCACTTCTGGGCTTTGGACCAAGCTGAGGACACCCAGATCCTTGCAGTGCCATTGCACCCCCACCCCCAGCACCTCGCGATGGGGTGGGCATTCACTGGACAGTTTGCTCCAAACAATAAATAATGATTAGGCCAAGCACTGTGAACCTGGGGCAAAGCCAGGAGGTGACAGACCTGTTTTCCCCTTTGGTGAGCGTGAGGCCGGGAAGCAGGTGTGTGTGACGGACGTGAAGAGCCGGGACCTTCTGCTTCTGTTGGAGCTCCACCTCTGCTCATAGTCAGGTGTTGCAGTGGGTGGTTCTCTTTGCCTTTCAGAATGTTTTTTTTTTGGAGACAGAGTCTTGCTCTGTCGCCCAGGCTGGAGTGCAGTGGCGCGATCTTGACTCACTGCAACCTCCACCTCCCGGGTTCACGCCATTCTCCTGCCTCAGCCTCCCAAGTAGCTGGGACTACAGTCACGTATCACCATGCCCAGCTAATTTTTGTAATTTTAGTGGAGACGGGATTTCACCATGTTGGCCAGGCTGGTCTCAAACTCCTGACTTCAGGTGATCCGCCTGCCTTAGCCTCCCAAAGTGCTGGGATTACGGGTGTGAGCTACTGCATCTGTTTTTGTTTTTAATTTATGTCTATTGCTGCTGAAAAAATTATAGTTTTTTTCATATGTATTTGTTGGCGAAAATCTGTATGAGAAAGGGAGTGGGTGAGGCAGTCAGGTACCAAGAAAGGCCCCTCACCTGGTGTGTTGGTCCCCGTTTCCCAGCAGGCGGGGCTCCTGCGAGAGGGGGCTCTGTCAGCCTCTGTGTTACATCACAGGCCTGGTGCTGTGCTGTGGATGTCAGGAAAGAGTTCGTGGGGTCAGAGCCCATCTGGCTTCCCGTTATTGGGTGTGAGGTACAGTGATTTCCCAAAATTACCTCTGCCTGTGGCATCCCCTGTGAGAATCCATCATGAAGAGCTGGCTGTGTGTGCGGCCACGGTGGTGCCTTTCCTGGAGCACATGGGTAGAACAGAGTGTGCTGTGGGCAAGTCTAGCCCCCTCCTGCCCTCCAGCTCCTTAGCCATCCCTGATGGGATTCTTCTTAGTCAGTCTCAGAAGTCACCAGTGTAAGCAGCTTTCTGTCCTGTGTACCGTCTGCTCCCCTGTTAAGAGCCCAGTGTCACCATTCTGTTTCAGGGAGCAGTGCTCACTGGTCCTCCTGGTACCGGCAAGACCCTTCTTGCCAAAGCAACTGCAGGGGAGGCCAGTGTGCCCTTCATCACTGTGAACGGGTCCGAGTTCCTGGAAATGTTTGTTGGCGTTGGGCCAGCAAGGGTAAGTGGACGGGAACCTGCTGCAGGTGGCCTCAGCACCGTGCCTTGACCAGGACTGGTCAACTTGAATAGCTTGGTGTGGGGCCCTGGCCCTGGGCATGGGCACGTGTGGTAGGTGCTGGTGCACCGGGGCGAAATGGGTCAGAGGTTTCTGAGGAGAGGGTGGAGGATAGTTGGCATTCCTGTCTTCCTACCAGTAGCAAAACAGGTTCTCTGTGGGTTTCTGTTTCAGGTTCGTGACATGTTTGCAATGGCCCGAAAAAACGCTCCATGTATCTTATTCATTGATGAGATTGATGCGATTGGCAGGAAGCGAGGCCAAGGGCACTTTGGAGGCCAGAGTGAGCAGGAGAACACCCTGAACCAGATGCTCGTGGAGATGGACGGTGTGTGTAGGCTGCAGCCGGCCTGTGGTGTGCAGCTGTTCCCCTGCAGCTGCTTAGGGACAGTCTGCACAGCCTTTTTCTGTACAGTCACCCCCAGAAGAGAGTCCCTGATTATTCTGTTTTTAAGGAAGGCTGCTCTCAGGCAAACGTGATGGAGAAAGCTGTGTCAGATTCACAAGCCTCCTCCAGTGCCCGTGACAGGATAGGGGCAGTTCATTCCCTTGCCGCCAGATGGAGAGGGGTTCTCTGGAGTGTGGAGACACCTGCTTCTCTGGGGAGGGGGACCAGGTAGACGAGCATGGCTGCTCCTGACGGTGCCCACAGGGTACTGTGTCCACAACCCATGCTCCTTCCGCTCTGAGCCTTGTCTTGGTGCCCCTGCATCACCCAGAATCTCACAGACCCCCCAGGCCCGTCTCTTCTCAGAGTGATTCTAGCTAAGATGTGACTGACCGTCGCCTGTCAGTCCTGCTAAAGCCTTGTTGGGCACGTCCAGGTTCTGTGCCATTTTTCAGATTTGGAAAAACTTTCACTTAGACCTTCGGCAGATTTGATTTTCACTTTGGCTTCAGGGCTGTGTTGGGGTCCCTAAGACCACCCCAGATGTGGTGACTTGCTAGGAGAAGTCACAGGACTCGGCCTATAGTAGCACTCAGGGCTGTGATTTACTACCGTTAAAGGAGGACACAGCAAAGTCAGCCAGGGGAGAAGCCGCATTGGGTCGCAAGGAGACCGGGTGCAGTGTTGAACCCTCCTCCAGTGGAGCCACATGGGACGCGCTCACTTCCCCCAGCATCAGGCTGTGACCACGCCTGCTGCATGTTGACCAGGAAGCTCAGGAGAGACTCGGTTCCCGGGGTTTTTGCTGGGGGCGCACAAAGCGTTTGGGCCCAGGGAGCTGTTTATCTCCGGGAATGGTGGGAACGCCCCCAGACTCACAGCGCCAGACACTGACCTTGCGAGCAGGCCTTTCTGAGGACAGCAGTGAGGCCTGCTGTGTTAAACACTGTTCTCTGCGGGCCAAAAGCATTTCCTAAGTATTTTTCTGTCTTTAGTACCCAATAGTAATTCTAATTAGATTATGACTGTTTTGATATCTGGAGGAGACCGATTGGAGACAGGACGGACGTGGGGCACTCAGCCTTTCTCCTCCCTTCCCCTCTGTTGAGCATCCCATTTCCTGTGCAGTCCCTGGCCTGCCCTCATCCACTCCAGCACGACGTGGTGTCAGAGGCTGCAGGAAACAGAATTAAGTCAGGATAAGGAGGGCCCACGCCCTGGACTTGTCTACCCCCTGAGCCAGGCTGTGGGGTTCCCAGTTAGTGGAGGGATGGCTGGTTACCTGCCATGCCCACATTGGGCTTGCTACTGGGGCTCACCTGCTTCTCCCGTGTCCAGGGTTCAACTCTGCCACCAACATCGTGGTGTTGGCTGGCACCAACCGCCCTGACATCCTGGACCCAGCCCTGATGCGGCCTGGCCGATTTGATCGCCAGATTTACATTGGTGAGTGCCCCTTTCTCAGGGTTGGGCCTTTATCCCCTTGGCCGAAAAGTTTGTTTAGGTGATTTACAGTGTATTTGGAGGAGATTTTGATGGTAATTCTGAAGCAGTTAATGTAACATTTTGAAAATGTGTGAGAGCTGCAAGTTGCTGCCATCAGTCCTGCCCCTGGCAGTCCACTTTTTGACAAGAATACGTGCGATCGGGCCTGCAGGGATGTTTTTTTTTTTTCACTACTGTAAAAATTTGATAATTGGTCAAGTGTGGTGGCTCACGCCTGTAATCCCAACTCTTTTGGAGGCCGAGGCTGGCGGATCAGGAGGTCAGGAGTTCGAGACCAGCCTGGCCCATATGGTGAGACCCTGTCTCTACTGAAAATACAAAATTAGCTGGGTGTGGTGGCGTGCACCTGTAATCCCAGCTACTCAAAGGCTGAGGCAGGAGAATCGCTTGAACCTGGGGGGCAGAGGTTGCGGTGAGCGGAGATCTCACCACTGCACTCCACCCTGGGCAACAAGAGTGAAACTCTGTCTCAGAAACAATAAATAAATGAAAAAATTGAAAATTGATAATTTAGAAGACAGCAATTTACCCCTTACTCTTCACCCTGACGGTCAGCCATCATTGCCTTCCCCCTCCCTTCTCGTGTTTGTTAGGAAGCGTTAATTCCCTGTGGCCCTTGTGTTGCTTGCTGTCAAGTGGCGTGGCCCTGGGTTGAGGGGTGCTGTCAAGTGGCATGGCCCTGGGTTGAGGGGTGTAGTCGAGTGGCGTGGCCCTGGGTTGAGGGGTGTCGTAGCTGTGGAGCTGAATGTGCCTGTGCCCTGGCTGGTTTCTGCCATTGCTTTCACCTCTGTCTGGAGGATGACAGCAGAGAGCTCCACAGGGACCCCAGCTGTCCTTGCAGTTCTGTGATATGGTTGTGGGCGACTGTTCTGAAGACCCAGAAGGCACAAGAGCCCGTGCCTCTCTCTCTCTTTCATTAGGCCCCCCGACATCAAAGGCAGGTCCTCCATCTTTAAGGTCCACCTGCGCCCACTGAAGCTGGACGAGAGCCTCAATAAGGACACCCTGGCGAGGAAGCTGGCAGTGCTCACCCCAGGCTTCACTGGTGAGTGTTGGGGGCTGTGCCGTCCCCTTGTGGTGGGAGCCATGTATGCTCTGCTTCTTGTCATGGGGAGTGGGGACTGGCCCTTCTCATCCAGTTCTGGCAGTGCTCACCCTTGTCTGCAGGACTTTTCACCTGTTGAGAGTGTTCAGAGGCCTCAGAGGTCAGTTTTCTTAGCCCCAAAACTAATTTGCACCCACTTGAATTTCTGTTTTAATTACAGTCAGACTTAGTGAGTCTTACCGCAGAGCTGACAGTAAGCTAATGTCGGGGGGGTGGGGGAGGATCTGGCAACTTGATGCTTCCCTCCACGTTTTCGCCTGGGGCTTGCCCTCCCTGCTGAGGAAGCTCATTTGATTTTCTCTCTTATTTTTAATGAAATCCTGGTCTATGCTAGGAAACCTACTTCCCTGCCTAGGCTGGATCACCCTCAGGAATGAGTGGGGACTTCTCCGGGAGATTCCTGTCCTCCTTACCCATACCTCACGGTTATGCGGCCATTGGCCACGGCCTCTGACCTATGCCCACCTGCTCCCGCCACCCCTGGAACATTCTGCTGTGGCATCTCATCACCTCCAGCTGCCTTGGCACCCCCAGTGGTACCCATCCCCTAGGCTCCCCAGTGTCCTGCCTAGTGTCAGGTCAGGTGTATTCACACAGGATTGTACATTTGTCTGCTGCAGAATGGTGAGTGAAGTCTTGCCTGGCAGGCATCTGAAGGGTGTCATGTGTCTTAGACACAAAATGTGCTTCTTTCCTTTTGTTCTCTCCTCTGGCTGACTTCAGATGTCTGTTTACATACCAAAGATAAAATGCTGGAATGTTACCAAGACTGCTTTCTTGTGCCCCTAGAGGGGATGACACAGCAGGGATGAATCAGCACTACCCCTCAGCGGGGATGCCTGATGACTCTGACTGCCCCTCAGCAGGGATTACTAAGCACTACCCCTTAACAAAGGTGACTCAGCAGGGATGACTCAACAGGGATGACTCAGCACTGCCCCTCAATAGGGATGACTCAGCAAGGATGACTCAGCAGGGATGGCTCATTACTGCCCCTCAACATGGATAACTCAGCAGGGATGACTCAGCACTGCTCCTCAACAGGGATGACTCAGCAAGGATGACTTAGCATTGCCCCTCAACAGGGATGACTCAGCAGGGATGATTCAGCAGAGAACTCGGGGATGATGCTGACTGCCCCTCTGGAGGGATGACTCAGCAGGGATGACTCAGCAGAGATGACAGCACTGTGCCTCAGCAGGGATGACTCAGCACTGCCCCTCAGCAAGGATGACTCAGCAGGGATGACTCAGCGCTGCTCAACAGGGATGACTCAGCAAGGATGACTTAGCATTGCCCCTCAACAGGGATGACTCAGCAGGGATGATTCAGCAGAGAACTCGGGGATGATGCTGACTGCCCCTCTGGAGGGATGACTCAGCAGGGATGACTCAGCAGAGATGACAGCACTGTGCCTCAGCAGGGATGACTCAGCACTGCCCCTCAGCAAGGATGACTCAGCAGGGATGACTCAGCGCTGCTCAACAGGGATGACTCAGCAAGGATGACTTAGCATTGCCCCTCAACAGGGATGACTCAGCAGGGATGATTCAGCAGAGAACTCGGGGATGATGCTGACTGCCCCTCTGGAGGGATGACTCAGCAGGGATGACTCAGCAGAGATGACAGCACTGTGCCTCAGCAGGGATGACTCAGCACTGCCCCTCAGCAAGGATGACTCAGCAGGGATGGCTCAGCACTGCCCCTCAACAGGGATGACTCAGCAGGGATGACTCAGTACTGCCCAACAGGGATGACTCAGCAGGGATGACTCAGCACTGCCCCTCAACAGGGATGACTCAGCAGGGATGACTCAGCACTGCCCCTCAACAGGGATGACTCAGCAGGGATGACTCAGCACTGCCCAACAGGGATGACTCAGCAGGGATGACTCAGCACTGCCCCTCAACAGGGATGACTCAGCAGAGATGACAGCGCTGTCCCTCAGCAGGGATGATTCAGCAGAGATAACTCAGGGATGACTGACTGCCCCTCAGCAGGGATGAGTCTGTTTTGCTCCAATGGAAGCATCCCTAGTGTCCATCAGCAGGTGAATGGCCGAAGTGGCATATACTGTAGTCAAATTCAGCTATAAAAAGGAATAAAGTATCAATGCATGCCACAACATGGGTGAACCTAGAAAATACTGTTCTAAATGCAAGAAGCCAGACACAAAAGGCCGCATAACATATGGTTCCATTTATGTGAAATGTGCAGAATAATAATAAACATGTATAGAATAGCAAATCTGTAGGGACAGACATGAGGTGAGTGGTTGCCAGAGGTGGAAATGGGAATTAACTATAAATAGCACAGGGTACCTTACAGAGATGATGGAAATGTCCTAAAACTAGATTATGGCAATCGTCGCACTACGCGATCAGTTTATTAAAAAATCTGATGTGTACGTGTAAAATGGGTGGATTTTATGGCTTATAAATTATACCTTAATAAAGGTTGACAAAAAATGTGGCTAAATAATGGTGACTGGTGGACAGCTCCCATTACTTTTAAGTTTTCTACTGAATTTCAGTCTTGTTCTCTCTGCTGGAGATGTTCCTTAACAAAACTGATCTGGGTCAAGCTCCAGCGGCCAGGAGCAGCACTGACTATTGGCTGTTTCTCCGTTCCTGGGTCAGGTGCTGATATTTCGAATGTTTGCAATGAAGCAGCCCTGATTGCTACCCGGCATCTGAGTCCTTCTGTTGAGGAGAAACACTTTCAGCAGGCCATCGAGAGGGTCCTCGGAGGTGAGCTGGGAGTCCTTGGGGAGGGAGGGGTGTTTGCAGCTCTGGGCCTGGCAGGCTCACCCTCTGGCCCCAGTTTGAATTCTGCAAGCCGGCCGGGCACAGTGGCTCACACCTGTAATGCCAGCACTTTGGGGGGCCGAGGCAGGTGGATCACTTGAGGTCAGGAGTTTGAGGCCAGCCTGGCCAGCATGGCGATACCCTATCTTGATTTTTAAATACAAAAATTAGCCGGGCATGGTGGCACATGCCTGTAGTCCCAGCTACTCAGGAGGCTGAGGCAGGAGAACCTCATGAACCCGGGAGGCAGAGGTTGTGGTGAGCCGAGATCGCGCCACTGCACTCCAATCTGGGTGACAGAGCAAGACTCTGTCTCACAAAAAAAAAAAAGTCAATTCTGCAGACAGGAACCAATTTTCTAAACCAACATATGGGACTTGGGATCTACCAATAGCTTTCATGCCCCTTCTGGGAGCACCATTTAGAAATTGAAAGGGATAGGCCTTCCAGGCCATCAGAGGCCCAAGGAAGCATATTAGAACCAGGTTTGAATGCCTACTGTGGAGGGCAAAGAAGCTTTCTTCCCTGAAGGGAAAGGATGAGATTTCCTGGGAAAAGCCTCCTGGAAGCTGTAGGGACCTTCCTGAGCCTCCTCAGGACAGTACTGTTGTGAGAGGAGTGAACAAAGTGGATTTCTTTTTTTTTTTTTTTTTTTTTTTTTGAGACGGAGTTTAACTCTTGTTGCCCAGGCTGGAGTGCAGTGGCATGATCTCGGCTCACTGCAACCTCTGCCTCCCGGGTTCAAGTGATTCTCCTGCCTCATCCTGAGCAGCTGGGATTACAGTCATGTAGCACCACACCTGGCTAATTTTTGTATTTTTAGTAGAGATGGGGTTTCACCATTTTGGTCAGGCTCGTCTGGAACTCCTGACCTCAGGTGATCTGCCCGCCTCGACCTCCCAAAGTGTTGGGATTATAGGTGTGAGCCACTGTGCCCAGGCTTACGGTGCATTTTCTTCAGCTTGGTGGGGAGCGGTATCCATCTCTCTCTTCAGCTCAGCAGACTGTAGAGTGGGCTGGGTCACAGCCTCCTGCAGCTAGGCCAGCTTGGGAACTGGAGTCAGCTGTGAGGAAGGGTCTCCGGTGGCTGCCAGACCAGGCAGTGCCAACACGGCCTTGCTTGGCCTGGCTCTCCCTGGTGCAGTTCTGAGGGTGGAGAATAGGGAAGTGGCTAGTAGCCATCCTTCATGGTCCACCCCAAGCTGTGAGAGCTGACATTGGTCAGGTGGAAGAGTGTTCTAGCTGCTGCTTCTTTATGTAACCATTTATCGAAGCATAATGTATACATAAAGTACTTATGATACTGAGTATCTCAAAGCAAACACTAAAGCTGCTGCCTTTTTTTTTTTTTTTAAGTGGAGTGTTGGGATCTTGCGCTGTCTCCCAGGCTGGAGTGCAGTGGTGCGATCTCGACTCACCGCAAGCTCCGCCTCCTGGGCTCAAGCAATTCTGTTGCCTCAGCCCCCCAAGTAGCTGGGACTACAGGCACGCACCACCACGTCCAGCTAGTTTTTTGTATTTTTAGTAGAGATGGGGTTTCACTGTGTTAGCCAGGATGGTCTCGAACTCCTGACCTTGTGATTTGCCTGCCTCGGCCTCTCAAAATGTTGGGATTGCAGGCGTGAGCCACCGCGCCCGGCCAAAGCTGCTTATTTTTATTTAACTTAAAAAAATTGGCCGGGCGCGGTGGCTTAAGCCTGTAATCCCAGCACTTTGGGAGGCCGAGACGGGCGGATCACGAGGTCAGGAGATCGAGACCATCCTGGCTAACACGGTGAAACCCCGTCTCTACTAAAAAATACAAAAAAACTAGCCGGGCGAGGTGGCGGGCGCCTGTAGTCCCAGCTACTCGGGAGGCTGAGGCAGGAGAATGGCCTGAACCCGGGAGGCGGAGCTTGCAGTGAGCTGAGATCTGGCCACTGCACTCCAGCCTGGGCGACAGAGCAAGACTCCATCTCAAAAAAAAAAAAAAAAAAAATTAAAAAAATTTTTTTATAGAGATGGGGTCTTGCTATGTAGCCCAGGCTGGTCTCAATCTCCTGAGTTCAAGTGTTTCTCCAACCTTGGCCTCCAAAGTTCTGGGATTCTAGGTGTGGTCACCATGTGCTGCCACCAAAGCCTCCTGAGGGCTGTCCTGGTGTGATTAGAGGGGTTTGAGGAGGGCTGGCTGTGCCATCTGTGCTTTTCCTTTGTCCTGTTACCTGCCCGTACACTGGGCTGTTAGGGCACTGAAATCATCCCTCTCTGTCTTGTCATGCTGTGCTGTCATTTTTAGTCAAACCAGAGGATATGGTGCCTTTCTGTGTTTCACATGCAGCTGTTCCCATTGGCTTCAAACGGGCCTGTTTTAAGGCTTCGTGTGAGGTGTGTGGGATGTGGGTTTCACTGCAAAGCAGAAGGCAGCATGGAGCTGGGGCTTGGCCTCTGCTGTCTGGTATAGACAAGCCTGGGGATCAGGTGTAGCTGCAGACACGGCTGGGCGCAGAGGGGGGGACCTCATTTCCAGCCACCTACTCCTGCCCTGCCTCACTCCCCTGGGAATGTGATGTGTAGGTCTTGAGAAGAAGACCCAGGTCCTGCAGCCTAGTGAAAAGACAACTGTGGCCTACCACGAGGCCGGACACGCGGTGGTGGCCTGGTTCCTGGAGCACGTGGACCCCCTGCTGAAGGTTGGTCTTCCCACCCTGAGTGAGTCTGCCCGGCAGGCTGGGGCCTGGAATGTCTGTGCCAACCTGTGGTCATGTGGGCATGGGACATTCAAGGGTTGGCCCTTTAACTTTTTAAGGAATATACTGCTCTAGAATTTGTCAGAAGAACCCTTTGGGGTGGGAAGGAAGAGCACTGGGTTCCAAATGGGGCCTCGGCCATGCGACTCCAGGGGGCAGCCTCAGTGTTAAACCCACCTCACTCCTGAGCTCTGGGTTCCACCATTGGCCCCTCCAGAGCCTCTGCAGGGCAGGCAGAGCAGAGGTGGTTTCCATGTGAAGCCCCCAAAGGCGGGTGCACTTCTCGGGGCATCCCCATGGTGTACGAGGGGCCTGGGTCAGGCTCTCTTCTCTCACGTTCCAGTAGAAGGACCTGTGGTCAGAGCTAGGGTCAGGTGGCCTGGCCGCTCTAGGGTGGCTCCTGGAGGAAGCGGGGACAGTGTTTGGGGTGACAAGGGCATGTGTCCTGTCCTCAGGTGTCCATCATCCCCCGGGGCAAGGGGCTCGGCTATGCACAGTACCTGCCCTGGGAGCAGCACCTCTATATCCGGGAGCAGCTCTTCGACTGCATGTGCACGATGCTCGGGGGCCGGGTGGCCGAGCAGCTGTGCTTCGGGCAGATCACTACGGGGGCTCAGGACGACCTGAGGAAGGTCACCCAGAGTGCGTATGCCCAGGTAAGGGTGGGCGTCCCCCAGCGCGGGCTGCAGGAGGCTGTGTTGGGCGCAGGCTCATCCTGGGTTCCGCACTTGCAGATTGTGCAGTTTGGGATGAGTGAGAAGCTGGGCCAGGTGTCCTTCGACTTTCCCCGACAAGGCGAGGCCCCAGTGGAGAAGCCGTACAGTGAGGCAACCGCCCAGCTCATTGACGAGGAGGTCCGGTGCCTCATCAGCGCTGCCTACAAGGGCACCCTGGACCTGCTGACACAGTGCCGGGAGCATGTGGAGAAGGTGAGTGTGGGCCGGGCGCGGTGGCTCAAGCCTGTAATCCCAGCACTTTGGGAGGCCGAGACGGGCAGATCACGAGGTCAGGAGATCGAGACCATCCTGGCTAACACCGTGAAACCCCGTCTCTACTAAAAATACAAAAAACTAGCCGGGCGAGGTGGCGGGCGCCTGTAGTCCCAGCTACTCGGGAGGCTGAGGCAGGAGAATGGCCTAAACCCGGGAGGCGGAGCTTGCAGTGAGCTGAGATCCGGCCACTGCACTCCAGCCCGGGCTACAGAGCAAGACTCCGTCTCAAAAAAAAAAAAAAAAAAAAAAAAAAAAGAAGGTGAGTGTGGCTTCTGCCCAGACGGTCGTGGGTCCCATGTTGGGTCACGGTCAGGCCACACCCGAAGGCCACACCCATCCTCGAGCTTGCTTAGGTTTGGTCTGTGAGCATGTCCTCAGAGCTGTCTGACAGGTGGGCCGTTGTTTCCAGGTGGGCCAGCAGCTCCTGGAGAAGGAAGTGCTGGAGAAGGCAGACATGCTGGAGCTGCTGGGCCCTCGGCCCTTTGCGGAGAAGTCTACGTATGAGGAGTTTGTAGAAGGCATGGGCAGCCTGGAGGAGGACACGTCCCTATCCGAGGGGCTGAAGGGTTGGAACTGGGGACAGGAGGAGGAGGACATGGAGCAGCCTGTGCAGGGGAGCTCTGCATAGCCTGTGGCGGTGCCTGCACCTGCTGCTGGGTGGAATTCACGTGACTGCCACTTACCTGGGACCTTTGCAAAGCAGCTGTGGACTCTCACCCAAAACAAATTAAAATGTGACAACTGTGAACGGGTGTTTTAGATCAGGGTGCTCTGAGCCCACATGCAGGGAGTGGGAGTGGACAGAGGGGGTACCCTGAGTCCCTGGGTCCTGCTGCTGGAGGACAGTCGGGTCCAGGGTTAGATGGGAGAGGCCCCAGGGCTCTGGCCCCTGTGGTGCTGAGGCTGGCATGAGTGTAGCTTCAAGAGGGACTTGGTGGGGCACCTTCCGTGGAGGCGTGTTGATGTGGCCATAAAGTCACTCAGAGGAGCCTGGGCCCAGCACAGAAACCCTCACAGTTTGGTGGAATTCAGAAAAGGAGAGCGTCAGCCAGGTATCAAGGGTGAGTCAGGTTTCTAAAGCAGCTGTTTGGATTGGTGGAAGCTGATCTGTTGATCTGTCCTTAAAAAGGATTAAAAAGGAAAGTCCACACCACCCACAGGTGCGTGGCTGAGGCGGGAGGAGGAGCTGTGGGGCCTCAAACCTGGGTTCCTCATCCGGGCACCCCCCACCCCCGCCTGCACCTTGGCTCCGTGGCAGCACTGCTCCGAGTATGAGGGACTTGAGTTGCTTAAAAAACCTGGCCCCTGTCCTTGGGTGGAGGTGCTCTCACTGCAGGATGTATCTGGGTCATCGGTTCGGTTCCTGTGATCCCTTTTTGTTGGAGTCCTGGAGAGGGAAGCTCTGCAGGGCCCCAGCCGGCTCAGGGGTGTTTGTGGAGAGGCCGTGGTCCTGAAGCCTCAGCACGCGGCTGCCTCTGACCCTGGTGCCTGTTCATGAACCCTTTTCCTGGGGTTGGGTAGCTCCTAATTTTTGTTAGGGAGGCCCCTTCTGGGCTCTGAGCTCCAGGCCCTTTGGTGCCTTGAACTGAGGGAGGCTTTGCTTTTTCTTACCTGGGGTGTGTGGGACTCGGTGAGGATACCCCTTGCGCTGTCTCCAGTACGTGACCTACCTCCGGGATTCACTGGGGTCAGCAGCAGTGTCAGCCTCAACCATGCCTTGGGGTGGGGGGGATGCGTGTCTAGGTCACCTGGGATGGGACCTGGGGGATGCCCATTTGCAGATGTCCTGGGTGAGCGGTCGTAGGAGGAGGCCCTGCTTGTGGGTCACCTGGGATGGGACCTGGGGAAGACACCCTTTTGCAGATGTCCTGGGTGAACAGCTGGAGGAGGAGGCCCTGCTTGCTGCCCTGGGCACTATTTGTTCTCAGCCTCTCTCTCGACCTAGGCCAGATCAGACACTGGGGTTTTGTAGTACATTTTATAAATTGCTTGTTACGTTGGCCTTAGAGCCTCAAAAATATAATTTCCAACTGGGGGTGAACACGTTCAACTTTTGCCGTTTGTAAAATGCATATCATCGGACTCAACAACTCTCCAGCACTCAACCTTCATCATGGCCTCCACCAGACCCAGAGTAGCTGAGTCACTTGGGGTCCGGTTGGGGCCTGGTCTCAGGTCCCTCAAATGGAGGTGGGGGTGCTTCCTCAACCCCACCGTGCCCCGGTGACATCGTGGCATCTGGTGGCCTCCGGGATGCATGGTGGTCATGGGCTCATGGCTCCGGCCCCACTGTGGTTCCCTCCAACACCCCTGGGAGAGCCTGGGTGTCCGTTTTGTCACCTCCCAGCCGGCTGCACGTGTCTGGGGTCCTTCACGATGATCTGGGTGTGGGATCCTTGTGCCTCCCCTACCGGGCTGTTCCCTCCAGACCTGTCTGCTCGGCACCTGCCTTCACCCTCACCTCTTCAGGGCTGTCACGCGCCTTCCCCTCAGCCTTCCTGCATGTGTCCTTCACAAGCTGTTCCTTATGTCAATCAGGAGTCGTCTCACCCCCTGAATCAGACACCATTTTCCACGGCCTTTTCCCCCGTCCTGGGCGTGACCTGCAGTTTGCCTCATCAGTCTGTCGATGGTAGCTCAGCTGCACCTTTGCTGAGAAGCTCCATCGGCCAGAGTGACACCTGCGGGTGCTGCTGTCTGTGCTGTGGTGGTCTGTGCACCCTGCGGGGACACGAGCCTTCAGCCCCTGTATTTCTCAGCCTGCCTGCCTCCCTCCCTCTGCCAGAAGGGAAGGTGGAATGGGGTGGATTGCGTGTAGCTGCCGGTAGCTGTGCACCCTTTCCAGAAGGTACATCAGACGGAGGCCGTTTTCTGGGTCCATGGTCGTAGGACACCTGACTGAGAATGTTCATGTACGGGAGGCCCCAGGCTTCTCCCCTCAGAGCCCAGCACAGAAACACAGAGACCCATGGGTCTGGCAGAAGGGAGGTCAGCCCTGGCCAGGCTCCGTGGCTATCTCATTTCATGAGTAGTGACAGTGGACAGGAGTTTAGGCCTCATCTGGTGCCTCCGCATGACCAGTGCCAGTGGCGTCTGGGACAGGAATGTGTTGAGAGCGACTCCTTTGCTGGGGATTGACTCCCTCCCCTGGCCTGGGCCACCTTTACAAACACGTGGGGCAGGACTTTCACTTCCTTAATGATTCCTTCTGTTGTGTAACTTTGGGACTAGAAATCCAGGACACTCATCCCCCAAATGGGACCCAAGTGAGCACAGCAGAGCCCTTGGGCTGCTGCAGCTGGAGAATGATCAGGGCATGGAGCCCAGGACAGCTCAGCCCACACCCCTCAGCAGGCACCTCACGCACTCTGGTGTTGGAAAGGAAGAGACTGCAACCAGGCCTTTGAATGCGCAGTGATGCTTTAATCCCACTGTTTGCAAACGAGCTCTGTGGAAGCTCAGCAGGGAGGATGGAAGACGGGGAGGAAGACCTGGCGGGTGGAGGTGTGGCCAGGGACACAGGCTGCCTTTATGGGACTGAAAGAGAAAGCTGCCTGGCTCTCTGTGACTGGAAACCAGGGAAGGAGACCTGGCCGAGGCAGGAACTGGGTTTACCAGCAGTGCTGAGAGGCAGCGGGTGGCTCAGAAGTGGGAGCAGGTGCCGCCTCTAAAGTGCCGTACACAGGAGGAGCTCAAGGCATGCCTGGGGCATCTCCAAGGCTCTACTGACAGTGAAGGCCAGGAGCCTGTTTTCCTTCCCCAGAAGTGTGCTCATGGGAAATGGGGCTGGGGCAGGCTGGCTTGCGGATGGAAAGTAAGCTTACACTTTCGTATTAAACTCATTCTTTGACTTGCTGTCAGGCGGGAAGCCCGTTCTGTGAGCTTCAGCATATAAGCATTGGGAGGGCATGAGCTGGGCCCCCAGACACCCCAGAGCAGAGGGAGCAGGGCCTGTCAGCCTCCTCTGCTGCTGCCGGACACAGACCCACGGGTCCCATGGGCCCCAAACCTGCCCAGCAAGTTTAAGGGCTGTGGGCAGGCCGTGTAACCGGGCAATGGGATGTGAGCAGAAACGAGGATGTGGCCTCATAGTGGGTGCAGGACAGGGAGACGGTGAACCCCTCCCCGAGAGCATTCCAGGAGGTGTCACCAAGTTTCCGAGGCAGTCTGGTGATATTTGGTGTTCTGAGCTAAGGAGGGAATGGACTTGCCTGTCACGCAGGGACCAAGAGAAGCAGGTGCAGGTCTTAGAGCTGAGCCTTGGGGAGGGGACCCTAGTGAGACAGTGCCTCGTGGAGTAGAAGAAGGGGCAGGATGGAAATCAAGGTGGGAATTTTGGGGCCGCTCCTCCATGTGCTTTGCTGGACAGCACATTGTCCCATTAGCCACTACCAAACCTGCCTCTGGCTTCTGAGCTTGGTAGCACAGGTAAGCGCGGAGGTTGGAGCAGCCCCCGGAGTTCCTGGAGTGGCTGTCACAGGCCTGGGTCCCCCTCACCCCAGGGTCGCCATGGGCCACTCCACTCCTCACCACGTTTCCGGCAGTGACTCTGTGGCGTCTTCCTGACTCAGGGCCCAGGAACAAGCTGGACGTAAGGCCACTGGGCTGTGCTTGTGCTGGGTCTCCCAGAGGCATCCAGGGGCCCCATGTGTCCCCCAGGAAAGCCGGCTGGTCTCCACGTGAGGCTAAGACCTGTGCCCAACAGACAAGGCAGGCCTTGGGGCTGGCAGGGGGCTGCCCCCAGGGTGTGTGTCAGGAGGTGACGGCTGGAGCCTCGTGGGGGTGCGAAGTGTGTCTGCTGGGTCAGGACTGCCCAGATCTGCCATCGTGATGTTCTGACTCCAGCCCTGCAGGAGCTGGAGGGCAGGCGGAGATGGCTTAGTCCTCCTGGGGCCTCTCCACAGTGAGAAACGTGTCCAGGACTGTGGCCTGCCGCTCAGGGTCACCTAGGGGCTGCTTCTCGCGGTTCTGCTCAGCCCTTGTCCTCGTCCAGGAAGGGGAGCGCAGGCAGCCAGCCCGGGGCAGCGGGTGCAAACCTAGGGGGGTGCGGGCAGGGCAACTCAGCGTGGCCGAGAGGCCTGGGTGAATGCAGGAGGGCTTCAGGTCCCGTTGGCCTCCTGGGCCACTCCTGCCAATGCTCTGCACCGGCCCCTGCGCCTGGCATGCACACATCTACCTCTAACAGGAGGCCCCCACCACACACTGGCCCCACCGGAGTGGTGGGAATTGTGGTCTGGGTGGGGCCTGGGCACTGCTCCCCAGAGTCACTACAGCCCAGGCTGAGCCTCTCCTGCGTGGTCAAGTGACCCTGGTGGGGCCTCCCCAGACCACCCCCTGGCAGGTGTCCCAGCTCAGCCAACCACTCCCGTGAGCCCTGCAGGTCTCTTGGAGCCTCTGCCCCATCATGGGCCTTGTGTCTCCGTGGTGCAGGCTCTGTGGGGCTGGGGATTCCGGTGGGCTGGAGTCTGAGCCCCTCACTCCACCTCCCCAGCCACAGTAGCACATGCCTGGGCTCATGGGCTGGATGGGAAGAGTTGCCACCAACATGGAGATGGTGGGAACTGGCCAGGGTCAGGCAATGGCCGTGTCCTGGAGGTGAGCTGGGGGCTGACTCACCAGGCCCCATTACCTCCCAGACACCTGGGGCTGCAGCAGCCCAGGACACACAGGCCGACACCCCTTCCTGACACCTCCAGGAACCAGGGGAGCAGCTGGCCGCTGGCAGGATTCACAGTGGGGCTGGTCCTTTTAATGAGGTCCTGAGTGGCCTGGGGGGTGGGGAAGCAGAGGCCGGGCCAAACTGTCCCACGCAGGGAAGGCTCGGCCCTGATGCTCTCACAGTTATCACTGAAGTTCACACAGGTCACGTCAGTGTCCTTCACTGGCCATTGTTAGAAGAGACTAAGGACACGCTGTCACAGCCTCAGTGGTGAGTCCTGTGCTCTGGTCATGCTGAGCACGTGGCCATGCTGGGGGCCGTGCTCGCAGGCAGAGTGAGGACACCGGAGCTGAGCACGTGGCCGTGCCAGGAGCCCTGCTCGCAGGCAGAGTGAGGACACCGGAGCTGAGCACGTGGCCGTGCCGGGAGCCCTGCTCGCAGGCAGAGTGAGGACACCGGAGCTGAGCACGTGGCCGTGCCGGGAGCCCTGCTCGCAGGCAGAGTGAGGACACCGGAGCTGAGCACGTGGCCGTGCCAGGAGCCCTGCTCGCAGGCAGAGTGAGGACACCGGAGCTGCCTTCAGGCCAATGGCAACACTCCATGGGAATCAG